CTGGTCCTGGGAAGAGGCAGAGGGGCTGGGTGGCAGTGGGTGGCTGGCTCGTGCCGTGCCAGGTGCAGGGTCTGCTGGCTGGGTGCTAGCAGACTTGCAACTGGTACGAGCACCGTAGGCAGACCGTGTCCCTTTAAGGGCTCTGGGGCTGGGAGAGGAGGCAGAAAAGTTTCCCTGGTTGTGCCCAGCGTGGCCACCAGGGCAAGCTAGGAAGGGCTAGCCTCCAACTAGTTTGAATTAAGTGGCTACACAGCCCTTAATTCGAACTACTTAATTTGAACTAGGCGTTAGTCCTCGTAGAATGAGGTTTACCTAGTTCGAATTAAGCGCTCCGCTAGTTCGAATTAAGCTTGAACTAGCGGTTTGCATGTATAGACGCTATGAAAGTTTGTAGTATAGACATACCCTTACTGACTATAAACATTTTATAAGATTGATCAACTTTTATTTTAGGCATCATGTAAGGTAAGCTTCCACAGGTTAGACACTTCACCCAGTTCAGTCTAAACATTAGCCTATTTTATAAACCTCAGAATGGTTTGCAAACATTAGCCAAACTTAGCAACAACCCAGTGGAGATAGTTGAGGGCAGAAAAACGGAAGGACTTGCTCAAGACCAAAGTCCTAAATCAGAGCTGCGATTAAGAACTAAGAATTCCATGTTTTCACTCTTATGCTTAATTAGTCTGTGCCAATCTCTTAGAGTATGTCTATACTTGCATCCTAGTTTGATAGTCAATGAAGCGGGGATTTAAATATCCGGCACTTCATTAGCATGATCTTGCCAGCGCGTTACTATGATCAACAGCTGTTTCTAAAGGAGTTTTTTGAGGAGTAACAATAGTTTGAACCAAGGGGTTTGGTTTGAACTAACGCGTCCCGGCGTGCACTTTTGCTTTTGAAAAAGCTAGTGATCGGAGTAACGTGCTGGCGAGATCATGCTAACGAAGCGCAGGATATTTAAATCCCCGCTTCATTGACTATTTTGAATGCCTACATTTGCATCCCTAGTTCAAGTGTAGACATACCCTTACTCTTGCAACAACAGAAAAGATATGCTGAATTTGAAAAACTGTAAAAATAAATAAATAAAAACAATGCTGTCTTAGGGTCCAGATCCTCAGAATAAATCAAGTTTTTAATTGCACCATAATGATTTATGCTAGTTGAGGATCTGGTCCTAGGTGTTTCAGTAAGAGTCTTTACTCAGACTAAGACCAAAGGAACTTCCTGGGAAAAGAATGAGTAGTCAGACAGAGTTTATAGCATTGTGTGTGTGCCCCCAGGGAACATAATGACTCAATCTTTTGAACTCTAATCTTTACTGATCAGTTCTGAGTTGTGCGCATGCAAAGCTTGAAGCCTAAGAACAGGCAGATTTATAGAGGCTACATTACATTTAGACAAATTATCTTACCAACAGTAAAATAAAAATAAATAAATAAATAAACCCAGGACTTTACTAATTGCCATTCACAGTTAGCGTCACCTTTTCATGAAGATGTTCACTGCGTGGTATTGCCATTATTGTCACCAAAACTTTCATTAGCTGCAAGCTAATGTCTTTGCAGTCTTCTTGGCACACTTCAATTATTGCTTGTACACAACAAAGCAACTGTTCCATATAAAAGATCTACAAACAAAATGCATGAAATGTGGAAGTTTTGTTAGTGTGAGACACCTTTTCTTTCACAGGCCAGTAAAACTGACACAATCCTCTTAAAAAGTCAGATATTAGTAGATGACAATAATACATAAGAGTAAATTCTGCTTATCCCACTCTTATTCCAAACATACACGCTACAATTTTAAAATGACCTATCACATGTTTTTTGTGGAGTAACAAATCAACTCTTTCTTCCCATGCTTTTTGCTTGGGGAAGTGGTTACCTTGTACAGTTAAGAAAAAGTAATCACCATCCTGCTAACAATATATGCTGAACACCATTCTGAATTTGACAGAGAATTTTGGGATTCCTAGGAAGATTTTCATCTTATCCTGAAACAGAACTTTCACTTCTAAGGCTTCTGCTGTGCCAGTCTCAAATGTTCACATTTTTTAACATGTCAAGGAGCATAGTAATATTGAAATACACAGAAACAAGGAACCCTGATGGTCTGTCTTTTACAGTCAGTTATTCTTAGTTATTGCAACATAAGGGCATGACATTCTGGCCTTACTAAAATCAATAGGAGTTTTGCCATTGACCATAATGGAGCCAGGATTTCACTCAAAATTCTTGTCAATTTGCAAATCTTCTGTAGCAAAGCATGGCAAACCACTGTAGAGAGAGTTTCCATGATTTGCTGTACTCCATGATTTGCTGTCAAAAACTGCACCAACAGGTGAACATGGGTCCCTCTACTTTCTGTATTGTATAACAGAATTAATTTAGAAAAGGCCACATGCCAATTTTGCAGAGCTATCTTATGGACTCCTTGCTTGAATATCCAGGATATGGTGGTGCTTCCAGTGGAGTAGATCCCTAAGAATAATGGATTTCAGTGTGACAGAATGCTCAGAATTGTCCTGAAAGCATCACTGAAACACATCCCATTAAAACAAAGACAATTAAACAGACCTGCAACACTAGAATAATCTTCTTAAATCTGACAAGGGACTACAAAGAATCTTTTGGAAACAGGGTGTTGACCAACTGCATACTCTCTGAAGATCTCCTTCTAGCCATTCTAAGGGCAGAGGCTTAACGTATCAAATTCCTGCTTAGAAAGAAAGCTAAAATTTTAATGAAGGAGGCTTGGTAGATTTATGGATTTTTCTTTTGTACCATTAACAGAACACTTTGCAAATCTGGAAATAAAAGAAAGGGGTGAAGAACTCCTGAATTTCAACTGTTACACCAGAGAACACACTCCATACTGGAGAAAGAAGCTGCCATATACCAAGCTGAGAGGGTCAAGATATTGAGAACTAAGTCCTTTTAACTGAACTTGTTTGGGTGAACAATTACATTGTTTTTAATCTGATTTAATTATTCTATACATAACAGATGAAGAAGTACACCAAAGAAAAAAAATGCTAACTGATTTTACACAGGACTTTCAGCATATGGCTCTCAAAGAATACAGGCAATTCAAAATAGTACAGTAAGAACTGCCTTCAGGTTCACCTCCCATGAAATCCATCTGCTGCATATTATTTATGCATGTGCTTAATAGCAAATTTTATCATTATGGAAGTGTCTTCATCCTACATTCTTAAGATGAAGGAATCCAAGCCTACAAAGCTTAAATTCTAAAGCTTTTTGCAAAGAACCTTCCCAAATCATCATTTAAGCATAAAGTCTTTTAGAAATCAAATATTAATATTAAAAAAAATGAACAAAAACATTCTCTTTGTGAAAAATAACATGACAATCACTATTGTCAAGAAAATGTTTGCATCAATCATTTTTACTTAGTTGGACTGCAGGGCTGGGAAGGGTCAAAATACATTCATTTGGATATTGTACACAATGTACAGGAAACCCTCATGATTTGCAGTGGATGTGTTCCTGGCAAATGGCAAAATTCATGAATACTGGGAGCCTAAGCTCCCGACTCCTGCGGTGAGTTCCCTGCGGCTCCTGAACCCACCACGCCTCCAGCAGCCATGGGGAACTCTCCATAGAGGCAGGGAGCAACAGTAAGTTCACCGCAGCTCCTGGCCCTGTCCCTTCTCCCCCAGTTGTGAATATGTGAAAACATGAATAGTGATTCCATGAATCACGAGAGTCTCCTGCATTCATCAAAACAAGGACAAAATTGTGCCTTTGGAGGAATGCAAGTGACTCCCATTGCAGTACATGGGAATGACATTCATGGGCTTAAAAGCATAAAGTTACCCTAATGTAGATAACTTGAAGTTCTCTATCAGGGAAAATATCAATATTTGATAACAATACTATCAAATAACCCAGTACAGTTTGAACTGAACATATGCAAGACTGTGTGAACTCACAATCACAAATGAAAACTTCTGTAAACAAATTGTAATAACTTAGAACTGCTATTATTTTGGTCACTATTTCCATGGTAAAAGGGGACTTGTCACAGGTGATGTACAGCCTACTGCCATGATTTTCAAATGACAAAATGTGGGCCACATTCAGGTGGCATGCAGATGGTTTTGAAGTATAGTTTGACAATAAGAATCAATTATACTCTATACCTAAAAATAACAAAAGTGCTTTTGGCTTTTAGATGTGGTATGTTAAGACTTAAAGTCTGAACCAGTGGTCTAAGCCCTGGGGTGTTTTGGATTTTCCATTTATCCTTACCTCTTCAGATCGCTGACAGATCTCAGGTTGTGAGAGTGTGTTAGCAAGATTAGACAAATGAGGCTTTAAGACTTGTCTTGGGCAACCTCGGATCACTGCAGCAAGAATCATGAGATAAGATGGCATAGGTGTTTTTTCAAGGGCTGACATGAGTAATTTCAGAGATACCTTAGGGTTAACAAATGTTCCAATCAACTCTGCTGCTTTCACACACTGTAGAAAAGAGAATAAATATAATTTGAAGATTATTTTTAAAACACAAAGACCATTCATCATATTCTGGCCCTTCCTTTTTTATGATTCCAGCTGTTTTTTAAATACTTCAGCAATTGGCTTATACGCTTTTCCACTCACTCAATAATGACTGCATGCATGAAAAACATTTCTTGACATGTGTTCAGAAAGCTCATAATAAGGCATGCAAGCACCCTTCTCAGCATCAGACTCAAAACTTCCATGAGAAAGTTGTAATGCACAGAAATGAAGTATGTAACTTTCAGTGTAACAGATCTTTAGCTTAGGGTGACCACATGTCTCAGATTTCCTGGTTTAGGGTCCCTGCCGTCTCTGCCAAAACTGTTGTGAAGCACACCCTCTACCCTCATAAAATAGAAGTAATCCATTTTTGTTACATTCACACACTTCTCAAAACTGCATTTTAGAGAAGCAACTTTGTATCCCTCTCTCGCAAGCAGAGGAGTCAAGTATATGTGGCAACCTAGCACTAGCATTGTGACTACCATGCAGAAAGAGCCTGCTACTTTCAAGCTTTCATTCCTGTAGCTAGCAGGACTGCCAAGTACTATATATCTCTTTCTGGCAGGCAGAGGAGTTCCAGAGCCTAGGCTACAGCACAAGCTCAAACATCTATGCCTCAAATGAATAGCCCCACAACTTAAGCCTGAGTCAGCTGACAGGGGCCAACCATGAATGTTTAATTGCAGTGTAGATATACTCTTATAATGCCCTAACCCAGAAGGGAGCAAACTATGTTGCCCATGGGCCATATCCAGCCTACAAGACCCTTCAGTCTGGCTCCCAAGCTCCCAGCAGGGAGTGGAGTTGTCAGAGCCTTGCTAGGAGGAGTTAGCCCAGGGGTGGGCAATAATTTTTGCCCGGGGGCCACTTCAAAATTTTTTGAAGTGACCCCAGCCCACCCCAGAAGGGGCAAGGCCTAAATGGGAAGGGGCAGGGCCTAAACGGGAAGCTTCAGAAGGGGCAAGGCCTAAATGGGAAGGGACAGGGCCTAAACGGGAAGCTCGATTTGGAAAACTAACTTTGTTGACATTGCCTGGAGTATCTGCAGCCAGTATATGTCAAATCTATTCTACCAATTTTTCAAAAAACAAAATTCAAAAACTGGCAATGAAACATTTCATTACAACTAATTTTTCATGTGTTTTGGTGACAGTAAAAAGAAATAAATAGGAATGAGATTTAGTTAATAAAATAAAAAAATTTGTCCTGAATTCCATTTGATAACTTTGGCTTAATTTTGTAAATGTAGCCACAACTGACAATCTATGAGAGTTCTGCCTGCTGATAAAAATCAGTAAAGAACTGATGTATTTAAGACAGTGCAGTAAAATACACTATTAGAAAAAGTATTCTATTTCTTGTCTAAATACAACAATAGGAAGGAAGTATTTACTTGTATAACTGATGTATTTGAATACCGATTATGGCTATCATATGAACCTTAATGTTATGTTTAGATTATGCACTGAGAGATGAGATAAGTGAAATTAACTAGAAAGAGCATGCACGGCACATATTTTTAAAATGGAATTTGTTGCCCCAAGACACTTACACTTAAATCTGCTCCTTATGATTTTTAGTTGTGGTAAGAGATTAAAAACCTTTTAATAGTCTTAGTTTTGGTCTTCACACCAATAATTCAAAAATTATTTTAACAAACGCACATAAAATCTACAATGTTTAACATCCTCCCTAAAAACATTTAAAACTACTGGATGTCTTGATCATGCATGTGTACTCTGGCAAAATTCCTGTTGATTTCTGCAACAGAATCATTAGCACCATCTTTTTCCACAACAATATTTATTTGAAAGATTTTCTAAAAGATGAATGAGATTCCAAGCACTAGTGACAATCGTAACATTATTCTATATTCTTTGGGAAGAGTGAGGAGGTCCCTTAAAAGAAATGAGAAGGAAAAGAAATTATGAGCCCAATTCACTCATGTTAGTTGTTTAGGTGGTGAATGCTCTTTTGAGTTCAATTACAGGATGGGGACTTTTCCCAACATGATAAATAAAATGACATTTTAAAATGTATTTATAGTTCATTAAGAATAGTTCAATCTAAGGATGTTAAATTTCGGTTATCTAACTAATCGTATAGACGATACAATTTGTATTGACTACATGACTAGTAGATAAGGACAGCTATGCAGAGCAAAAATAGTCGATACTCCAGTTGACTAGTTGCTTACATTCCCATTTCCATTTTAGTTATATAGACTCAATCCTGAATGTTAGATACTATAGATATCTAAAAAAAGCAAACTTACATTTGTAACCACATTATTCTCTTCATCTAAGCATACTCGGTACAGAGTTCTAAGCAGTAGCTCCATGTGCTGTGTAATGTGGTCCTCAGCATGTAACAACAATATAAACAGAAGCTGAGATGATTTTATTCTTGTTCCCTCAACCCAGTCTGTTATATCATGACAGAGACCGGGAAGAATTTTGGAGAGGTTTCTTGTAACGAGCTCCCGACATCCCAATTCTGGTCGAACCACTAGGAGAAAAAAAAAAGAAAAAAAACCCAGAAGGAAAGTTCAGGATATGTGCTACAAATGCTTTGCAGAAAATTTTAGGAAAGATTAACGGTTTAGACTCATAACAAAAATAATGCCTGCTCTGCTTCTATGTGAAGTACAAGATTCAAAGTGCTTGTATAGTTTTATCTATCAGATCTGACATTGAATTTAATAGCACTGCACAACTAAACATTGCTATTAACACTTTGAAAATATAGTTATTAAATAAGTAATGCGAATACCACCCAGGTGTTATATAGCAATTTTCTTTAGTAGAGCTGAAAGCGCTTATATGATTGGAAAGGTAGTATTGACATTACATGATTTATTTAAAATGTCTAAAGGAGAGAGGAAGGGAAATAAGAAACTCACCCCCAACATGGCAAAAACATCTTAGCCAATTTCAAAGTGACAAAAAGCAAATAAAAATGAAAAAGATTACCTCCTATTTACAGTAAAACTCCATTAGTCCGGCATCCAATGCTCCGGGACTCCTGATGGTCCGGCACCATCAGGAACCCGGAATTGCTGGGGCAGCCGGACAGGCTTCCCCCATTCAGCTGCTGCTGAAACTGACCAGCAGCTGAATCATCTTAGCCAATTTCAAAGTGACAAAAAGCAAATAAAAATGAAAAAGATTACCTCCTATTTACAGTAAAACTCCATTAGTCCGGCATCCAATGCTCCGGGACTCCTGATGGTCCGGCACCATCAGGAACCCGGAATTGCTGGGGCAGCCGGACAGGCTTCCCCCATTCAGCTGCTGCTGAAACTGACCAGCAGCTGAATCGG